TTTTTTTTTTTTTTTTTTTTTTTTCAAAGCGGAGATCGTTTCGAGCTTTTTTCGATGTGGTTGATGTAAGCCTTGGGCACTTGGCCCGTTTGACAAAAAAAAAGAAAAAAGAAAATCCAAAGCTTCAGAGCGAAAAAAGCAAAGAAAAGGGGAGGCCAGCTCACTCGATTTAAGGGGCATATACTCACATCACTCGATTTTTTCAGGGCATATACTCACACTCCACTTTTTCAACTGAGCTCTGGACCTGATTGCTGCCAGTTGCATACAGGTGCGTCGTAATTGCAGTCAGATACATTCGGGAAAGTGCCAGAGTGAGTATGCGACCGTATACCACATCTCCGCAAACACGTCCAGATTCAGGCATTGCAACTTTTCCTACACTCTTCACCCGAATACAACGTACGGTCATTATCACTGTGTCTAGACGCATAGTTGGCCCAAATACAGCTATAATGACGGTACGTTGTATTCGGGTGAAGACAGTAGTGGGAGTTGTTGGCCCAGGCCAGCATCGCAGGTTCTCTGTTGCTCTCTTCGTTCTTTCGCTGTTCTTTTTCACACATCTGCTTCTTCTCACAGGCGCAGGCGCGAGGTCTCACTAGCATAACAAATACGATTCAGCTAAGCTCCTGAATCTGGACGTATTTTCAGCAGAGATGCACAAAAGGAGTTCAATCTCGATTCTCTGCACCTTCGCACAAACACTTCCATATTCGGGCATTCAATCCGATCCTCTTTGCACGTGGTACCTGCCCCCAGGTGCAAAGGGATGGGGATGGGGGACCTTGCGAAGGATGCTTCGCCTCTTCTTCTCGCCGCTGATCATAATAATCGACCGCATAAAAAAAAATCCGTCTTTACCCTGGCCGCATTCATGGCCGACGTGTAAGGCCGTACCTGGACTGGCTCTACCTCAGATATACACCTGGCCGCAATTACGTCCATAAACAAGTTAAAAAGTCTAGTGCGAGTATGCCCCAGCGGTCTAGCAATTGGTCAAGGAATTGCCAATATGCTCTGTCTGCCTTGATTAAAAAAAAATCGTCATTTAAAAAAGAAAAATCGTCATTCAACTGACTTCACAGGGCCTACTCACACCAGCAATATCTCAAATGTATCTGACCGCATCCACGGCCGCACCTGGATGTATCTGAACGCAATTCCGTCCAAAAATACTTTAAAAATTTCGGTACTGTGAGTATGCCCTCGTTCAGGAAAACATGACGCGGGGGAGGCAAAAGGCCGACGCCCCCCGGTAGTAACGTCAATAACGACCAACTACGGGATGATGATGGAAATGTCAACGAGTGGCCGAACCAACCCAGTGCGACAGGTGGTCCCCACCCAACTCGTGAGATATCTGCCCATGGTGACATTCTAAGGGCCTCGCCACACCACTGTCGAAAACGCGATTTTCGATAGTTTATTTTTTTACCGATAGTTTCTCTTGGGCACGGGAAGAAAATTCGCAAGGGTCAGATCCCACAACCCTGGATTATTCATTTTTCACCCTCGATTACGAAGATCAACGGTCAGAAATGAACAAGGGGCTAGTGGGATCTCGCCCTAAGTTAACAGAGAATGCTTCTTGACATCCCCCTAGAAAGTTAAAAAATCTTGAATCCCCAGCCTCCTCCTGCTACTCCGATGCTTTCGACAGTCCTCGGCTGCGCCATCGACTGACTTCTCTTCGGGCGCGTCCGTCTTTTTCCATCTTGCATTCGCAAGTACGTCGACTCTACAGTGCTGTGAGGCTGTAGAGAGAGACAAACTGTCGAGGGGAGGCCGTCGAATTTATTCTGACAGCCGCCGAATTTTTTTGCATTTCCACAGTGATGTGGCAAGGCCCTATGTTTAAGTTCACACCACGAAACACATAGGGCCTCGCCGCACCACTAACCAAATGTGCATGTGCAAAATGAGTACTGGAGCGAGAGGCACATACGGCCTCTCGGCACTACTCTCGACATGCACAAAAGACAAATCATGGCCGTGTATCTTTCCATAATGTAGCGGAAGATTCACTCTCGTTTTGCAAATCACGAGCAGTGCATCGAGGCCCCTATTCTTCCATCTTCCGCTAGAACACAAGTGTACACTTTCCACTTTTTTTTTTCTTTTTTGCACGTGTTGACAGGAAGAGCAGGGGGAGACGAAGCGGGCGGCAAAGGCGCAGCAGCGAACATCACATTACGCAAAGAGCAGGGCGAGAACAATCAGTGCAACGAGCACTGACCCCATCCATCATGCGCTGCGTGGAAACACACACTCGAGCCAACGTGTTATAAAACGCTTGATGGGCACTGGACCAAAGTTTATCCCCCAAGGCTCAACGAGCAACCAATCATGCGCTATCGAAAGAGAAAACTGCTCACGACTTAACTGACATCATATTGGCACTAAGCAGACGCTCAGCTTTCTTCGCTTTGCGATGCTCAATCATTATGCCGACGCTTCCTTCTTCCCTCGAACACAAGTCACCCTCCCTAATCAGGAATGCGTACGAACACGATCTTTCTGGGACAATCATAATGAGGGCTCGTCATAATGGGACAGTCATAATGAAAGACGGTAGGGATGGACGATGGGTACAATAAGGCGGCTAAGACAAAAAAATGGAGGGCAGGAGGGAACACAAGAAAAAGCACTTTTTAAGCGACCGATCGACGGAGGACGAGGTACTGGCGGTTGGGCAAAAAGCTTGGCGCGCAGTGCTTCAACCAGTCACGGCAAAATGAGGCTCGGCGGCTGAGCAACGGCGCACCACGACAACGAACCCTGCCTGTCCTGCACAACCGTACCGTCTTCCCCCAAACACAACGCACCCTCATTTCGGCTGCCCAGACCGGAAAAATAACTCGTGTGCATTTGGTATCAGAGCGCCGTCGAGTTCAGAGGCAGCGACTGTTTTTTCGCGCAAAAAAAAAAAGAAAAAAAAAAGGGTGCCGTCGTGTTCGGGGGAAAGACGGAAGTGACGGCGGCAGAAGGTACACCTACGGGACTCGATCCAGTACTCTCCACATTCACAAAATAAACAAAATATGTCGGTGTACAATTCCATGATCTTGAAAAGATTCATTCTCATTTTGCACATTTGGAGAGTAGTGTAGCGAGATCCCATCAACCGCTGGCCAAGGGGTTGAACCCACGACCCTGACCTATCTGGCACTACCCTCTACACTCGATTGTATCACATGATGACCACGATCATCTCATTCCACCTCTCCCAACCCTCACCCAACCCGCTACGGCGTTACGGCAAAGCTTGGCGCGCAGTGCGAACCCGTCACGTCACGTCTTACCGTCCAAAATCATAGATTAGATTTCATCAGGACGACCACGAAAATCCCTTTGGACCTCCTTCCAGGACTCTTCAACTCACAAAATGTACAAGCTCACTTTGGACAACGTCATTGCCCTGCCCCTCTCACGCGAAATGGATGCATACAAGGGAGGGACGTTGTCCTGCCCCTCTGGACAACGTCACTGCCCTTTTGTCGTCACTGCCCTGCCCCTTTGGACAACGTCACTGCCCTGCCCCTCTCACGCGAAATGGATGCATACAAGGGTGGGACAACACAGCAGCTCAGATCGTCTGACTAAGGTAGTACCATAGTACTGCAGACAATGTGTCACGTCCCCAGGAACACGAAAACGACAAGATCGATGAGCCACTCCCAACGAGTCTTACCTACTGCTTTCCTTCGTTTCTTGGTCTTCTTCACCACACACAATGGGGCGTGCTTCGCGCACACGCGCACAAACGCGCAGATCATGCTACACGTACGTGACACACTCACGCCATTCCGCACGCACACACAAAAAGAGGGAGGTAATCCGTCGATCTACAAACATCTTAACACACAAACACACAGACGCACACACAATGTGCAACATTCGAGGGGTAGTACAAATCTCAACACACAACAGGAGACATATGCACAACACGCGCATTTGAGGGCCGATATAAGCCTCTAACAGCGATATAAGCCCCTAAACGTCCAAGGTACTGCGGTATAAGCCCTTGGAACCTCCTATATGTCTCAACACGCGCATTTGAGGGCCGATATAAGCCTCTAACAGCGATATAAGCCCCTAAACCTCCAAGGTACTGCGGTATAAGCCCTTGGAACCTCCGAAGTACCGCATTCCACGACGAACGTATCCAGGCGGCGGAAAAAAAAAAACCGACGTCCCCCATTTGCACTCCATTCCATAGCCGACGCATGAGAAGCGTAATTCGTCGTAATCCCCTCCGCCTCGACTTCATGTATACCACACGATGGTGATTGGCCATTACGCATGCCCTCACACGACTGAAAAGCGACGCAAAGACACAGCAGGCCACACCAGGCCAACAAACATGTCAGCTCCCCACCATATTTCGCTCCACTCACCGACGAGAACACGACATTCATACACAGCCCTTTTCACTAATCATCTAATCACCATTCACTGGTGTCCACCAGAGATTTTCATTCAAACACGAATACACATCATATAATCGTCAATGCAATGCAATTTTGACAACGAGCATATAACTGTCAATGCAATTTCTCAACGCTTCGGCACAGCACCAGTGAACATCGAGCGAAAAGAACCGGCAAATGACCGATTCAGCATATAACTCTTAAAGCAAAGAGGTCATCCTTGTAACCAAGAAACACTGAGTGCACCATCACCCGCCCAACACTGTGTCCCATTCTCACAACCCTGCCGCTAGCATCAATATAAACCGAGCGCAAGAACGTACACTACCAAGTAGTCAATCACACCGCCGCGCACGACCAACTCATCATCCTCTTCCTACCACCTACAAACAGCAGAACCTGGACAAACAGGAGGACCAGGAACGCCTAACATCTATTATCGACCCGCACTACATTATCGAATCCTCTCTTTAATTTTCACCTTCATACTCGAACGCCGTGAGGGACAACCAACTGAAACAATACAATCGATTGCCAGCGCCAGTGAAGTCAATCCCTAATCACACCTCCAAGAGATTAAACGCTAAGGGAGAGGACGGGAGCCAACATCCTAGCTACAAAACCTATCCCCCCCCGCACATCGTGCAAGACGACATCTTCCGAGGGAAGCCGAGCGAACCAAGAACACAAGAATAGGGAACACGCTGCACAAAACACAAACGACAAACACAAACGACGCTTAATAGGGCTCGACCGGTGCACGGAAATTGGCGCCAGCGTAGACAGCGGCATCGCCGAGTTCCTCCTCGATACGAAGCAACTGGTTGTACTTCGCCAAGCGCTCCGATCTGCACGGCGCTCCAGTCTTGATTTGTCCAGTGGCCAGTCCAACGGCGAGATCGGCGATGAACGTGTCCTCGGTCTCTCCGCTCCTGTGGCTGGTCATCACACCCCAGCCGGCCTTCTTCGACATCCTCACGGCCTCGATGCTCTCGGTGACCGACCCAATCTGGTTAACCTTGAGGAGGAGAGCGTTCGCCGACTTCTCCGCGATAGCCTTGGCCACCCTCTTCGGGTTCGTCACCAGCAAATCGTCGCCGACGATCTGCACCTTCTCGCCAATCAGCGCCGTCAGCTTCGCGTAGTGCTCCCAATCGTCCTGGTCGAAGGGGTCTTCGATCGACACCAGAGGGTACTCGCTGCAGAACGACTGGTACAGCTGAATCAGCTGATCGCCGGTGATCCTCTTGCTGCCGTCGTTATGCTCGGTCTTGAAGTCAAGATCGTACATCTTCGTCTTGTCGTTGTAGAACTCCGACGCCGCGACGTCCATGCCGATTGTCACCTTACCCGTGTAGCCTGCCTTCTCGATGGCCGCTTTGATCAACTCCAAGCCCTCCTTGTTATCCTGGATGTTGGGCGCAAAGCCGCCCTCGTCGCCCACGTTCGTCGCATCCTGGCCGTACTTCTTCTTGATGATTGACTTCAGATGGTGGTACACTTCGCTGCCAATCTTCATCGCCTCCTGGAACGAAGACGCGCCCGTCGGCAGGATCATAAACTCCTGCATCGCCAACTTATTACCCGCATGCGATCCGCCGTTGATGATATTGAACGAAGGAACGGGAAGGACCAGCTTCGAGTTGCCTGCCAAATTCGCGATGTGCTGATAGAGCGGGATCTTCTTCGCGCCGGCGCCGGCCTTGCAAACAGCCAGCGAGACCGCGAGGATCGCATTTGCACCGAGCTTCTGCTTGCACCATCCCCACTCGTTCTGCGTACCGTCCAGCTCCTCAACCATGAATTTGTCGATGGCCGTCTGCTCCGTCACATCCTTACCGATCAAAGCAGGGGCAATGATGTCGTTGACATTGCTCACAGCCTTCAGCACCCCCTTACCCATGAAATCCTTGCCGCCATCGCGGAGCTCCAGAGCCTCGTAAATGCCGGTAGACGCACCGCTAGGCACCGCCGCGCGGTACTGCGCGCCATCACTGGTAGTGATGTCCACCTCCACCGTGGGATTGCCACGGCTGTCGAAGATCTGACGGGCCTTGATAGCAGAGATTGTGACGGCCATCTTCAAATTCAGCTGGAAAAGTTTGCTACTAGAAAGTGCAGAGAGTAAAAGGGAAGACGTTGTTGGCGATGGCGACGAGGACCACCAAACCCGCCGACGGCGAGGTCTTCACTACACCGCACTGAACATCAAGACCAATGTGCGAGCAATAGTACGAGAAGACTGCATTCGCTTCGGGATTTATTCCCCTTTTCGTACAGTACAGTGGTCCTCCAATCAGACAGTGTGGGCCTACACGCAGTGAACCGTTCATTCATCAAAGGGCCTCACGCCACGACACTTCGATCACATAAAGAAAAATAATAATAATAAATATAAATATAATAATTTAATAATAATAATAAATGGTAAATGGTAATAATAAATATAATGATAATAATAATAAATGGGGGTGTAAGAGTCGTTCTCATTTTGTTTGTTTTGTTCGCACATGTGGTAAGTAGTATCGTGGAGCGAGGCCCATAGGGTCGACTGTCCGTTCCGACGACGGAGTGGTCCCGCCAGCGCTTCCATGGGCCTGGCGCGCACTTCTATTTTAGGTCCCAAGTTGCGCAACTGCCATTCGCCAACAATCAGAATGGAACAAGATTACTTGTTCAGATTCGTTCAGAATTTTGGCGGATTGGCGAGTATAGTTAGTGCAACTACGTGGGCCCTTCCATCGATTATTACATCGACGACTCTCGGATTCGTGGCCTCGTCATATGGCTCACCAAATGAGGCAACTGGAGCATGTATCTTCCGGTAGAACGTGAATTGATACTTCCGCCAGAGTTTCTGTCTTTTTTTCGCATTTGGCTACCTGTGGTGGGGCAAGGCCCTCAACCTCATGAGCCCAATCGTGTGCACCGGTGCCCTGTTTTCTGACATAACATATAATACATACATATACATATAATATGGAAACAAAATAGGAATCAAAAAAACAAAAAAACAAAACAAAAAAAAGGAATCCTGACGCTGCCCTACGTGCGACCCGAACCTGCAGGGTTGTGCTTCGACCCACAGTGTCCCCTTAGCCTCGGCAGCCCCCGAGGCACTCCAAGCCCACTGAAATCGGCTCGGATGCGGGGCGGAAAACCTACGGCGGGAGCGCCGGCACTCATCAACCTCGAGTCAGGCGCTACTTCAGGCGCCTGGCTTTGTTGACTTGGCGTGAATTAGGTCTAGTCAGCACGCGCTGCCGTGAGCCGCTGCCTCGTCGGACCGTGCCAAGGAGGCAGGCCCACAGCTGAATGTTTTGCAGCTAAAAGTAGGGTCATACGGGTGTATTTTGGGATAATTTGCAAACTACCCCCAGACGTTGAGAGGTATGCCAAACTGCCCCTAAAAGATGTGGGTAGAGCGGAATGCCCCTCTGACAATAAACATATTTTGTGAAATACCCCTGGGGCGTTGGTTGGACACCCGTCTTTGCAATATACCCCTACCGGGTACCGTCCAACTGTGCAAAAGGGCCCAGTACTTGCCAACTTTCCTAGGCGCTATTGCAAAATCCAAGGCCCAAACGGGGAGGTCCAGATTGCAAAGTTGCAAACCTGCCTAACAGGGGTACAACACAAAGATTTCGGCCCATTCTGCTCTACCCACATCTTTCAGGGGCATTTTGGCATATATCTCAACTTATGGGGGTCTTTTGCAAATTATCTCTTTTTTTTTTTTGGTTCTTTTTTTGGTTTTGAGAAAAGCAGGGCTCCATTCTATTTGCGGGGAGCAGCACATGATGGGAACCGGGCCCAGCGTCCCTTACAACATTGGAAAATGCATGCCGGGGCCGGGGCCCCCACAGTCTACCCGGGACTACACACACACCCGCTTTGAAAGGACAACTCTCTGCTGGAAAACGGGTCCAGCGTCCCATTGTTGCTGTGATTTCTATGCTAACTACCACCGCAAAACTTTATCTGAGTCCTGCTTGCGAGACCTACTTGGCCCAGCTCCGGGCCGCGGAAAATTCCAAAATTGTGCCACAACTTTGGGAAGTGCTGGTGGCCAGTACCTTCCTCAGCTATTGATAGTGAGCCTAAAAATGCCCTGTAAGCCAATTTTTGCCAAGTTTGGAGGGGGCGGGTACCCGTAGGGCAAATTTGATACTGGCACCGGTACCGCCCATTATGGCGGACCTGGCGCCAGCAGCTGGAACAAGACGAGGCATCCCAGGCCTTGTTTTCACTAGAAACGCTAAGATTCATCTCCCATAAAAAAAAGGAAGAAAAAAAAACAAAAAACAAACAAACGTAGGGGTGGGAGGTTTTCGGAGGAACGGGGACGCCGGCGCCTTAGCGCTTTGCGCCAGTGACATGAGTGAGCAATAGCAGGTTAGGGTTTTCGGTTGAAGTGTGGGGCTCAGTGCCATAGCCCAGTGCGCGCAACAATAGGAGAGCCGCGTTTTTCTTAGTTGTCAACCCGCATGAGCTTGAGCATGAGAGATAATGAGCCCGTCCATAGCATCCCAACAGGGAAAGTTGAAGTTGGAGCATAAGGAAGATCTTTAAGTTGGCGGAAGTACGAGGAAGAAGAATATTGTAGAATGGACACGAAACGAAGAATGATGGGAAGCAGCGTCCTTCAGCTGGATTACTTCTGAGTTTCACAGATTCAGACGTGACTGATAGGTTTTTGATTATTACCTAAATGGGATTTGAAGATTCTTTAGGAGGCGGGTACATCGACATGGGTGTGCAACAACAATGTGACTTACGACAGTGTGAGCTCAGTAAACGGGGATATAAGCTACAGTAGAACGGTGTCAAGTGAGGAAGGAGCACAAGTTATGTGATAGTCGGAATAAGGAAACGATAAGAGCGGCCCTGTGACGAACTGCTTTCTGTAAACGCGCGACTTTCTGCGCGACGGTATTTTTGGGGTTGATCGGGAGGGGCCCGCTCAATTGCATGAATGCACCCGTCTTTTTTAAAAATGTTTGGTCCCATGTCGATTGGCAATTGATCACGCCTTAGCGAGCACAAAAATAATTGTTGCCATAACTTCTTTCTTGTTCTGCTAAAAGTGGTGAGGGGAACTTTGGCGTGATCATCGCGCGGGAGAAATATTTTCTTTCAAATTTTGAAATACAAGGGATTACGGGAATTGAGATTTTAATTGATTTAGGAATTGGGGGCATCAGAATTTGTCACGAACTATTGTTGCTGTAACTGCATGGGGCTCCTTACTCGCGCGCGAATAATGACGTTCTGTCCTGCGCTCTGCTCCCGTCGCGCCTATATTTTAATCGCAACTGTAATCTCTCCTTGCTCCTTCTTGGCAAGCGCAAATGTAACTGTATTCCTCTCCCTTCTTGAATTTTTTTTTCACTAAAAACTCTACCCCTCTTTCCTATCTATCTCATTGCCCAAGCAGGTGCATCACTGGATCGATGGGTGGAGAGCGGCTACGTCACCCACTCCGCGGCGCCGTCATGCACCTGTAAGCACTTCCTCCTTCTCTCTACTACCTCCTGCTTCAGCATAATCCGGAATTATCTCACGCAAATACTAATGCTATAAATTTTGTAGATGTGACTAATTCACTTTTTAATCTAGACTTGGTAATTAGCGCGGTGGAGAGGATCGGTGAGTAGGGAGTTGGGCGATCCGACAACTTGGTGCGGGGTGTGCGGGGTTGACGTCCAGCCGCGAAGGACTGTGGCACACGGGCGAACCTGGCTTACATACTCGGACTAAGTGATATGACAACTTCATATTATTGGTAGGTGTGAGGCGACGGACTTCCCGCATCGTGGAAACTGAGAGAGGAAGATAGAAAGAGCAAGAGAGAGAGAGAGAGAGGGAGAGAGAGAGAGAGAGAGAGAGAGAGAGAGAGAGAGAGAGAGAGAGAGAGAGAGAGAGAGAGAGAGAGGTCAAAGTAGTGTTATCTCTTCGCATCCTCTGTATAATTTTGATTTTTGGTTTCAACCATCTTCATTTGCGGCACTCTCGGATTTTCTTTTCTTTGGTTGATGTACGAGTTATCTTTATCTCCCCCATTTCTCCCTTTTCAGTTCAAAATGTATGACAATTTTCAAAATTGATTGATTGCTTGAACGATTTGCGTTGGAGAGTCATTGATCGCAAAAACAAGGGATTATGATGAGTGTGGAATAGACCGTGACGCCCTGTTGATGTATGGAACCCAACCCTTTTTTTACGCCCATGTTTCTACGTGTGTAACATCAATCGACTGTCTATTTTTACGTTAAGCCTGTAAAAGTTATCTCCCTGAATAAACCCATGTCAGAATAGATGCATGCATGGCGGGTAGATTACAGTCTATTTGAAGACCGATTATGTGCACGAGCCTAGGTATGGGTTGAATCTTCCTCATACATGGGGCACTCGCGATTGACATCTGATGAGTAGGAATATTATTCATTTTCTTTTTCCTTCTCCCCATCGAACGGTTGTCTGATTTGCACTTAGTGCACGGACACCGTCTTTTCATAAGAACAATACGATTAAATTAGTTGTATGCGTAATAGGTTGGCTCGAATTATTTTGGAACAGATCCTGTGCACGAACGTATAAGAATGGCCACCAGAACGACAATCATCACATATACACGTGTCCGCATGATTCCGTCTTTTGGGACGAGAGGAGAGTGATGATCCATGCCAGAGCAGTCGAGTGAAGGTCTTCAATAAATCTTACAGAGAGTATGCATTGAGTCGAGGTGTAGTTGAAGAATCCGCACACCCTCTCAACTGGGAGAAACTGATGACAGTTATAAAGTATATTCGAAATAAGGTGACGATCCTGAAGAAGATGCGTGAGGCGGAAGCTTACCGAGATGCTGCGATGTTTTGTATCTATGGGAGAGTTGGCAACGGTGCGGTGAAGGTTTGCGGTTGCAATACAAAGAGATAAATATAGTGAATCGAGAGGTGCGTCCAGGGTATACAAAAACTGATAGGCATGGAGGGCAATTTCTTATTCGGTTGAGGGAACCTAAACCGGAGGGAGAGACTTTCCTAGGGATTCTTCCAGAGTTGATTTTGGCGTACGAGAGTATAGGTATAGACGTACGAAAGGGATACTTATTTCGAACCAGAAGAGGAAGTAGTACGCTTGGTGGTGGGGCTTTTAATAAGCGAATAGAGAAATGGTTTGGGAAGCAGGAATGTT